CACCGGTGGGGGTCCTCCAAGCGAGCTTCGCAAGGGAGCGGCAGGTGAGGTCTCTGGGACCTGCGCTGGGATCGGCCGCGCGGGCACCCTGTGTGCGAGAGCGGCTGGTGTGGCCAGTCCGCAGAACGAGGGGCAGGAACCCGATTATGGTAAGACTCAGCACACGGTCCTGGGGTCACGAGTGGAAAGATGTGGTGGGCAGAGTCCCTTTTCAGCTCTTCGGGCGTTTTTCGTCGTTGTTGTTCAAAGTAAATATGTGAGGAAAGCTCCTGTGTGTGTGTAAACTTGTTTTGTGTCGGTTGTGTGGTGTGTGTGTGTGTGTGTGTGTGTGTGTGTGTGTGTGTGTTGCATTGTGTGGAGATGGGGTGGGCAGGCAGGGACTTCCTTGTGGGTGGCGGTGGGCTGGCTGAGACGGGGAGGAGGCAGAGAGGCGGGGTCTAGACCAGTGGTTCTCAACCTTCTGGCCCTTTAAATACAGTTCCTCATGTTGTGACCCAACCATAAAATTACTTTCGTTGCTACTTCATAACTGTAATGTTGCTACTGTTATGAATCGTCATGTAAATATCTGATATGCAGGATGGTCTTAGGCGACCCCTGTGAAAGGGTCGTTCGACCGCCAAAGGGGTCGCGACCCGCAGGTTGAGAACCGCTGGTTGTGGGGCCCAGAGGAGGGACTCAGGGCCCATGGAATGTGTTTGGGGCTTGAATCATCCTGAGGTCCCGCAGTCTTGTCTAGCTCAGCTGTGGTGCCGCAGAGGCCCCCACGGGGACAGTGGCCAAGCCACACCCATGGCTCCACCAGGTCTCACCTGTCAGTGTGGGAACCTGAGCACCCAGGTCGGCGGCGGCACCTGACTGGGGTGCAGCCAGGGAGAAGCCTCACGTGAGGCCTCTTTGATTGCCCTTGCCCCTCCCCCTACCACCAAGTGGCTCTGGGCAGGGTGTTCTCATCTGTGAAAGGCAAGTCCAGCTCACCTGCGGCCCACTTGCCTGAGGGCGGGGAGCGGCCTCCTCAGGGTCCCAGGGACAGGTGGCTCTGCTCCGGAGGGGCCCTGGGCCTTCACCTGGACGGTCCAGGCTGCCCCCTCCCCCACCTGGGGTAGACCCCTCAGGGCCCCAGTCCTGGGCCCCTCTGACAACCCCTCCTTCTCTTAAGAATCCTGCTCCCAGGCTCCCCTGGGCCTCTCCCTCCCACCCTCCCCCACTCACACCTCAGGGAGCTCTGGACAGCCCCTCCCGACCCAGAGCTGGGCCATGAGCCCGGGAGCCTCAGCAGGGAAGGTGGAGGCTCTGCGTTGCCACCCTCTGTCTGTCCTCCCACCCCCACCTGGGCCTTCCGTGTCCCTCTGACTGTGCCAGGAGCTCCCTGAGAGCAGGAGCGAGTCTGATGGCCCAGGGGCTGGCGTGCCGTCGCCACTCACTGATGGCCGGCCGGCTCCGTGGATGGGGGCCTGGGACTTCTTGGAGCTCAGGGGCTGAGTCTGCCTCACCGGGACCCCGTGCCCGGGGCAGAGCTGTTTGTTTTGTTGAACTGATGGAGGCACCGTGAAGGCATGCGTTTACTGAGCGCTTGCTGTGTGCCAGCTGCTCCCCTAGCACTTGGACACTTTTAAACTCAGTGACTCCTGAAGAGAGAGT